GTGGCCACCGTACTGTCTGCGGTGGGGCGCCACTGTACTATGTGCTGACGTGCGTGTCGTGTGTTGCAGGAGATGAAGCATCAGCAGAATCGCGAGCGAGAACGAGCGACTGCGCAAGCTGAGGGAGAAGGTGGAGGCGCAGGAGCTGAAGCTGAAGAAGCTGCGAGCTCTGCGCGTCAGGTCGACCACCAGAAAAGAATATATATGTACACTGTATATAGATTACTCTATGTTTATTGTAGATATTCTCTATAACGGGAGTTTAGCGGTTGCGTATGATAGCATGCAGAGTCAATTTGGCGGCGATGTTGCCTAGGTAACTGCTGCAAATATGCTACATTGTTATAGTCCCCGTTCGATTGACCTGCCTAGTTATTTACTGACCATGATTGTGTTGTTATACCTGTAGTCCTCACAGCATTGGCAGGCCACTGCCCTCTGCTGTATATCCACCTCCACGTACACGTCTGCAGCGCATGCACCCTCGCTTTACTCGAGTTTATGTACTTTTCGTGGCAAGTGGAAGTGCGTGTATATAAATGGCCGCAGCTGAAAGCCCACGCGCCTAATGACTTCTGCACATAGTAATGTAGACTGTAGTACAGAGGGACTAACCAGTATGTGATTTCCACGGTTGTGTGTACGCTTGCAAGGCTGGATGCTATGTATGGCTGTAGTATGAGGTGGAAGCTAGCACTCGCTTTAACAATCAACCCCCGGGGACGGATGAATGCTAGCAGGACGGTTGAATAAAAAACCGAGAGCCATGACACGCAGACTCTACAGAATGACTCCACACCGGACCGTGTCTGAACACCGGTAGTGGAGTAGCCATACAATAAGAGTCCGGTCGCGTATATAGCCTTCGCTTTCATACCCTCACGCGCAACTGATCGCCGCGTGCGTGCTCAGTGCGTGCTAACTGCTAAGGCAGGGGCCATTAGAATGAACACGAGCGTAAATGTGCGTGTGTGTACGTGCACTACACGTAACACGTTATCCTTGGACTGATGCAGCACATAGATGCATGTCCGGCACATAGAAAAAAACGCGCGCAAAGCAATCGTGTGGGTCGATCGTGTAAATTAAACGAACTGTGAACGCTGGCGCTTTGGCACATTCCAACATTCGGATAGCTTAGATGCGTATTTTCGCCGCATTTACATGATTTTACGCTCAAATGATTTTACTAGGTTATCCGTCATGCGTATCTGCCGGTGTAAGAGGGTGTAGTGACGATTTTAAATTCGGTTACATTTCACAACGAGTCAGTACTCCTAGAGGCAGCATGACGCGAGTAAACCCCACGGCCATTTTTTTCTATTCGAGATTTTTAAGCAAAGTTTCAAGGAAATATTGCATCACGTAGAGAGAGACACTGTCAATTTATTGTGGATCATTCTGCCTTGAGATTTTTCACGATTCCCGTTTTCCTTCAACTTTAAATTAGGAAGGTTTCACCTGAACGCACATATTTATTTCACAACACTGGAATTTCCTATTAGTTTGGTGTATCGTCTTTTCCTTGACCTAATTTCCTAACCTACCTCAATGCAGTGTAATGTCAGTCTGATGATGTCGGTGGTGTGTGTTAACAGCTTTATACACAGACTAGTATAAACCAGCTACAAATTATACGCGCTCAATAAATCCGCACATTTAGTGTAATCATCTCTGCAACTGATGTGTGATCTGTGTGAGTGTGAGGAGGTTTGTGGGTACGAGCTTTGGCTAGCTGTAATGTCGATGTTAAATTCAACCGTGCTCATCTCCCTTCGTGTTATTTTATTACCTCTCCCTATATCTATCTACATATATCAAGAGTAGATAATAGGATCTCCTATTATCTACTCTTGACGTATATCAAGAGTAGATATAATAACACAGTGTTATTATGTACTCTTGACGTATATACATGGACGAGCATACACAAAAACGTGTTCGTATCATAGTAAGAAAAAAACATTGTTTATGATTATAGCATGGACATTGTCAAGACTGTAAATATAAAACTTCTTTTATATCACTCGCTTATTAAATGTAATATATATAATACGTCACTTTTTTGCACCGTCATAAAAATCGGAAAAAATGTGTTGTGAACTGCTACATGTAAAATCGGCACCTACACATGACTGTTGCCATGCCGACGATGTATTGACAATGCGCATTCTCTTCTACTTGCAGTTGTCGGGAGGGGGTGTGGACCTGACCTTGGCTGAGCTTCAGGAGATGGCCACCAGGCAGCAGCAGCAGATAGAGACGCAGCAGCAGATGCTGGTTGCCAAGGAACAGCGGCTGAAGTTTCTCAAGCAGCAGGTGGGTGTGTGGGCATCACTAGTGCTGAGAGGGTCTATGTCCCCCAGAGTACTGCCGGCACGTACCCTGGGTACAGTCCGGTCTACCGGAACTATCTAATATGCCGGACCGTACCTCGCCTACGTCTACTCCCTAACCCTAACTCTAACCATCTAATATGCCGGACCGTACCTCGCCTACGTCTACTCCCTAACCCTAACTCTAACCATCTAATATGCCGGACCGTACCTCGCCTACGTCTACTCCCTAACCCTAACTCTAACCATCTAATATGCCGGA